ATATAATAACAATCTCTGGGTCCATGATTTAGGGCTAACTAACTTTCTAGCTTACTCCTTCTTTCGTCAAGCACAGCTGGTTGCTAGGTAACAGGAACGCCAACAGGTTGGGAACAACTGGTGATGCAACCAGGAAATCATCCACAGATGAGACCAAACCAATTTGGAGACCGTTTGGTTTGGCTGATGCGGCCTTCAAAGGATGTGGCCGACGCAGACCGTGAAGGCCATGTCCTTTGAAGGCTGCAGCCCCTCCATTGAGACACAGCTACAGCCCCCCCTGCAGCACTCCCCTCTGTCCTAAGCCCATCCCACCAAACAACACAGGCCTATGCCCACACTTCATACAGTAACCCGGTGTTTCCAATACATTGATTTAGTTAATCTTATGTCATTGTACAGTTAAATGCAGCTCAGTTGCTCAGGCCCTCATTGCCCTGCTCTCTCTGTCTCTGTTTAACAGACCACAAATGAAACAGGAACTAGCTAGAACATCCTACCGTGCCTCCATCTTGCTCCCCGCCATTATGGACTGCTTCCCCAGGAGGAGAGCTGGCAGCTCAGGAGACAGACTTTTGTTCGGCAGCAGCGCCAGGTCTAACCTGTTAGCTGATCTAGCAGGGAGTCGGGGTTGTCTGGTCCCGTGGAGCTGGGGTTTGCGCTGGCGAGATTTGCGATGCTGCAGCCGTTGACTGGGGCTCTGATTCTGGAGCTGCGGAGGACAGACTCTGTGCATTCCAATACCCATACCACCATACTATATAGTATGCCAATACATCGTAAGTCATATGCAGTATGCCAAAAATACCAGGATGTTCTACTACATCCAGTCTGATTTTGTAGAATGCAAGCTGCCATGCTTTTCTGGCTATTCTGTCCCACAATCCTCTGCACAGTGGACGATACTTCACATTGAGTCACAAACAGATGAGATAAGTCTCAATGATGGATGACAACGCATTCAAGTAACTGATGACCAGTTGAATAGTAATAAGGGGAATGTTAATTGTTTAAGTGAACAGTAATCATAAATATCACAAACAACAAAAGGATGTAACTATCAAAATAACAATGACAGAGAAATGCAGATGTAATTTCACTGTCGCAAATATGTTAGAATCTATAATCTGGGCAGTTAGAACTTTACAGTTAAACTACACACATTGCAGAGTAACAGCAGCAGAGCTCTCAGGGTTGATCTCCATCCCTGGCAAACTCAGTAAGTGGCGTTTTTCTTCAAGGTGATGGATATAAAAGCAAGAGGGTCAAAGTTCAGGGCGTAATGTTATGTGAAAGAATGTCCCGATTGTGTGCATACTGCAACAGTACATACATTTTAAGGGCAGCTGCAGTATCTACTAAAAGTAAAAAGAAAAAGTATGCAATTTGGAACACACTTAGTGTTGTCCAAGGCTCTAGCTAATGCTAGCTACATGAACATGAACTATATTGACGATATTGTTGTTTTGTTTCCTTTACTGTCACTCTTTTTTTGATAAGCCCCTCTTCCTTTTGTGGGTTGCTTTGCAGTGTAGGCAGTTGTTGCCAATGCTGGAACAACAATTTTCTCTGCAGGATTCTCTGTCAGTGAATCAAGCTTCAAAGGAAAGTGCATACCCACAATGGTGTAGTGGTGGTTGACAAGGTGGGCATACCACTAGGAAAATGGGTAGGTTACCGAGGAGAAGTGGGTATACTCTGCTATATATTCCACTGGCCTTTTTGGCTGATAGGTGGGTACACTGTAAACGGCCAGTAAAAAAGGTGGTTATATTCCATATACCTGCGTATACACTCCAATACACCACTGCATGCACATCTGCATTGTAGAACAGCCAAACAGAACACCCTCTCTCTGAATTGACCTGTGATTGGCTAAAGTTTCCTGTCACAACCTAGATATTCTAAAACCTGAAAATGGAACCAAGAGGAGGAGCAGAAGTCAAGTTTTCTCTCAGAACACTTGAATTACAATATGCTCAATGTTCATTCTGGGATTTTTGCCCACTGATGCCTTTATTTAACTCCCTACCGCAGCTTTAAACTATTTAATTATGTAAGAAAAACCCCTGACCAGATCCACGCTGAGAGAGAAGTGAGGAGGTTGCGAGGTGTTATTGTTAAATTTCCTTTTGCCCACTAATAAAAACACGGTGAATGCTAGATTCCTGAGGAAGTAACGACCATTTCCTGGTCAGTCAAGCAACATAAGGAGTGTGTATGATAAGATGAGGAACCACCCCTCACCGCCACCACCGCTGCCTGAAACACCACAAGCTTGTCCTCAACACACTCCACCTCTCTCTTCCTACGGCCCTCCCTCATCCTTCTGACTGCCCTTCTGGCCTCCGTCTCATCGGCCCTCTGCAGCTGTATTTCCATCTTACAACAGTGAACCTCCATCACTCAGGATGGACTCCAGACCCCCCAACCTGCCGCTGCTTCTCCTCACCTGCCTCCTACATTTCTGTAAGGACCCACTGTTGTGCCGCTTCAAGGATAAAGGATGTTCCTTCAGTTAAACCTAATCTCCCGATTCTCACTTTTGTTTCTTCTTTCTTTTCCTCTGCTTTTCTCCAATCACAGGGCAGTGTGGCAGAGGACAGTCATGTAAGTACATTATACTGTATTTCTGAGTCTTGTTTAATAATTGGTCTTGAGGGTTTCTCCTGCGTTGAGACAGTTTCAGGTTATCCGCTGTATTAGACGAGGAAGCTATTTTTACCACGCAGTTATTTTTTGCAGGAAATGGGCATGGTATCGTGCACTCCTGACCTCCTTGATATTTTCAAGTCTTTAATGAGATTCATTGAAGCTATTTTTAACTGTCACAGGTGAAGCTGGGTAATCTTTCAAATCAGCGTGAGTTTGAATGAACACCCCAAATTTTGAGTAGCTAGTATTTGAATCAAAATGCGTGTTTCCTCCTTTCCATTTTCCTTATTGCGTCAGTGTGCTAACGCTAACACATGCTAACGCTATTAGCACAAGCCTATGGCATTTTACATTGTATAAATTAGCCTAGCGATGAGCGGAGATTTCCTCTGCTCATACGAGCCAGGATGAATCACACAAGACTCAAAATGCTATTTTTGTGGAGGCTTTATTGTCTTCACAATTTATTGTTTCTTATCTGAGAAATTAAAGGAAATAAAAGCTTTGTTTCCACTGAGGGAAGTGGTTTCAGCTTACAAAAATAGACAGGAGGTCTGCGTCACCTCAACACATTTCTGGGGTGTGCACATCAGGCTATGCCTTAGGTTACGGCGTACCTACCGTGTAGGCTCTATGTCGACACAGAGCCTACACGGTAGGTACGCCGTCAATTCATCGCAGAAGTACAAATTCCGCCTTATTCTCAGTGTGATGTTGCCAGTAACATGCTGACACTCCAGGAAGTTACTTCTCCTGGTCAAGAAACAAGTTCCCAGGAACAGCACTTGGCTCGCATTCAATTTGGCATAGTGGCCAAACCGTGAAATTACAACTCCTAGGTCCATGTTTTGGTCCCAAAAGTCTTTCCCTATTCATTGTGAAAGATATCTGTAAACAACTGGAATTTCATCAGTTGGGTCCGGTAACATTTCGACATACAAGGAGAACTCGTGGTTGAATCATTATATCCCTGTTCAAGTTAGTGAGAGGGCCTTAACTGGAAGTTAGACGCTTGGTGGGCGAAGTCTCTATTGTGCTGGTTTTATGGGCACAATGATTCAGAAGATCCAGGTAATGTTATACTCGGGAAGTTGAGCAACTTTCCCATGAAAGCAACTTGCCACCAACACTGACAGTTGTCACATACATCTACAGTTGTTGAGGATTAAAATTACACAATAAAGCCACAGGCTTGTTTCCATTGTGTTCCTGTGGGGGTGGGGCAAGATGCCAGGTCTGGCAAGACCAACAGGAACAAATACAATATCCATATAATTACATACAGAAATAAAAGAATCATAAAAGGACAACACTGTATGTGTTTTGTCAAGGTCCTTATTCTGAGAGACCATTTGCAAACCATTTCTTCAACGGTTGTTTAAATTTTCTCTCTGTTTCAGTGAGTTTCAGTGATACTGGAAGTTTATTCCACTTACTTGCAACTAAAAAGGTTTTTTTGCCCATTGAACTTTTGAAATCTGTTTAGCTGTGTCTTGTTGAATAGTGATTGTCTCAGAAGTGATTAAAGTAGTAGAGTAGAGGTGCAAATAGGTTGATTTTGTTACCATAGGACAGAATTAGGCTAGCTGTTTCCCCCTGTTACAAGACCTTGTGCTCAGCTAAGCTAACCAGCTGTTGGTTGTAGCTTTTATATTTACGGTACAGATATGAGAGTGGTCTCAATCTTCTCGTTTAACCCTCTGAAACAAAGTGGATAAATGTTTTTCTAAAAATGTTGAACTACTCCTTTAAAATTATAGTACCTAGGTGTGTCTTTGACAAAATAATCTTAACTCAAGGTCCACCGCCTAATGTGTATGTACTGTTTCTATAGCATCTGAGTTAGCAAGATTCTATCCTGTCTTCTAAATTTTACTTGTTTATACCACTAAATTGTTTTCATAAGCTGCATGGATTTTGTTCAAAGACATTTCTTTGACTTAATGAAACACTACATTCATGTACCACCCAGGACTATAACACCACATCCTGGGTTCGCGTCCGGACTACTGTCTTAAGTTTAAGCAACAAAAGCACTATGACTAATTATGTTTAAAAAAAAAAAAAAAAAAAAAATATATATATATATATATTATTTTACTAGGAAAAGCCTCTTGAGACTAAAAAATCTCCTTTACAAGTGTGTCCTGACCAAGAGAGGAAGAGAGGCAGCAGCACATTCAACAAAGTTGCAGACACAAAATAAAAAATCAGAAATCACAGCATACCAAGAAATCAGGTCAACATATCCTATTCCTTAAATCTACTTTTGAAAACACTAAAAGAGACCAGCTCCCCGAGACCCAAATCAGTCTGCAAGACTCCAAGCTTCAGGAGCAGCATGTCTACAGTTAAAGCCTTTTTTTTACCTTTTCAAGACATGCTTTGAGAAAATATAGCAAGAGTAGGTCTTGTGAATATGTCACAGAGCACTAGAGCATAGGCCTCTTGTGTGACATGACATATGCATCGACAGTATAACAATGGCACTAACGTGTCGGTAACAATCATTTACTGTCCCTGTTATAGGGCAACTAATCTCGTCCTCTGCTCAAAGGGTAAGCGGCTCCCAGATACCCGATGTGTGGATACCCGACCCGAGCCCAACAGAACCTGTCGGAACCCCACAGGTCGGGCTGAGTTCAGATAATAAATCAGAAATTTTGCTCAGGTTCGGTTCGGCCCACTTGACATGCGGCTGTGTTGTGCTATGGTCTATTCAAGGGCTGGAATGTGTTATTTACGTGACAATGACTGATCGCAACATAGGCCAATAGTTACATTTCAGACCAAACTAATGAAAATGGAGGATGCTAGACAAAACTTGCTCTCAGGAAAGTTTAAAACTGCTGAAAACCATGCAGGGAAATCAGTGTAATGGAGGCATTTCGATTTAGTCATCAATGCAGGTGATAACAAAGCAGTTGGTTTTGTAAAATGTAAAACATGTGGGACTTCGATGAGATACAGCAGGAAAACAGGGAATTCCGCCTTGGAGAGAGGTTGCAGGATGTCTGCAGCTGCAGGTGGTATGCAAACTACTATCACTGGCTTCGCTACCACCTCCTCAAAAGAAAATCAAACAGCAGGCCTGCATCGGGCTCTGGTCGGGTTCCGACTTAAAAGTTGTAAAGTCTGTCTGGGTCGGGCCGGGCTCGGTTATAACTGTCTTGGACTCGGGTTGGGTTAGGTCAGGAAATGTTGTTTTCCCAGTTGTTCTCCCAATTTGAGGACATTTACGGAAGCTGTCCTTCTTCTTCTTCGAGTTAGCCGCTAACTGCAAGTAGCTGTTTTTTTAAATTTCCCACTGTGGGTTGCACACATAACATGTCGTCAAAATGTCACACCTATCCTGCCCATGGTCTTTCCTGTCAGCTGTCCTGTTTATACAGATATTGTTTTGGCACTGTAACTACCTTCTATGGTGGCTTAAAGGCGAGAGTACTCTCTCTCCCCATTCTGCAATCGTATCGTACATACAGAACAGCGAGGTGGCATAACGGGAGACATTCCCACCTTAAACAGGCAAGGTAAAGGGGGCTATAGATAGGAAGGAAGCAGGTTAAGAATTGTGTTACAAATAAGGACGTGCCAGTGATTAAGTCTACAGATGGACAATGTAGGCCCGCCAATCCTAGCATACAGGGAGGAGCAGTGATTAAAGGACTTGTGATGACCTCAGTGCTCAAGGGTAGACAGAAGAGTAGATGCATGCGTACATAAAACATCACCATTGTCAACTACAAGTACTGAAGCAGCAGCAAGGAGTCTTCTTTTTGCATCAAAAGAAACTCAAGACTTATTTCCGAAATAACAGCCCAGCCTTGGCTTCAGCTTCTGTACAAGTTGCTCAGTGTTTGGCGAAAATTTTGCTGATACATTCAGTATCGACATTTTTGCAACTTGCCAGGTACATTAATTAGCAACATTTCCTCATTATGTCAATAGAAAACGCAACTCTCTGCATTACATTTCCCTCAAAATGTATTTGCTGTTTCAAAGTCGTTGCATATAAAAGTAAATTTTAGGAGACAGGGCTGCACAGTCATTCGTCGCCTCAGTCACTCTAACTGAGCCCAAACTCACAGCAGTACTTTGAGGATGTGGACTAAGTGATTGCTTCGTGGATGTTGAGGCAGGTTACACCGTGTTGTTGTTGCTGAGGGAGAGCAGATGGGATAAATCAACACAGCTCTCCCAAGGGGACGAAGAGGGTCAGACGCTGTTTGTTGAAGCTTTTTCCTTCCTTCAGCAGCTCCTGCTTACTGTGCAGTAGACTAGAGGCCTGGGAACGCCCTCCCTCAGACTTCACCTTTATTGTGGAGAGAAAAATAGACCCTGACTGTTGTAATGTATTTCTGACTCAGCCCCTGATGTTGGTTTTAGATAAACAAGTCCTAATTATTTCTCTTTAATACATGTTCATGTTTGCGTGTGTGTATGTGTGTGACATTTGGACCTACAGCATACATTATAGACGACGTTGGCCTCACAGTCCTGCCCAGCAACACAGTTGAGAGCGGGACGCCGGTGACCCTGCGCTGTCAAGTCAAAGTCAGCCACGACAACATCCCTAACCTGGAGCACACTTTCCAGCTCACACAGGATGACAGTCCCATCCACTCCGTAACCACCACAAAAGACTCAGTCGTATATGAGCTCAACCCAGCCAGGGCAGCGGACTCTGGAAGTTATGAGTGTCGGGTCACTGTCAAGGACAAGAGCAAAACCAGCCGCAGCCAAAAACTCGACGTCACAGGTAAAGCTTTATATTGGTACAATAGATTTCTCACACCAGGATTTATTTGTTTTCAATTGGTTAGATTTGTTTGTTATTGCTTTTGTCTGACAAGGGTAGTATAACTTGAAAAAAAGTGATAATATACTTGAAAATCTGCCATTTATCAGCATGTTTGGGGGATAAAAAAAATTCAACATAAACTAGTCAGACAGAATCTAGTGGTTTTTTTCTCCAACTGATGAATAATTTATGTTACTGACAGCCATTTTCCACAGCATAACAGAAGACTTAAGACTGGTTTCCTGTATTCTTTTCATACACCTGAAACTTTCTTGAACATTCTGGCTGTGTCATTGTTTTGCAAAGCTTATGCCAGGAACAAACGCTAAGATTCTTAAAATATGCCCTTCATGACATGTTCATGGAGTGTCCAATATTAGACATTTGATAGGGAGCTACTATAAAGGGCAAGCCTTAAAGGGGCAAAAAGCGAAATCATTTCACCGCTAGGTTTGCTGTTGTGCACTGCCTGTAGACCAAAACAAAGTGTGTCATGAGCCACACCTCCCTCTACCTCTGCTCTCCACCCCACCCCCAACTCGCCTTGTCTAAACTTAGTTTAGCAGTTAGCGAGGCTCACTGACTAGAAGAGCTGGTAGAAGTGCTCCACAGCTGCAAGTTACTCCAGTACCCGGTGGCAGCCGACTCGGCTAGAGCCATCGCCGGATCCCGGCTAGTGCTAACACAGGGAGCTAACGCTAAAATTCCTACTCTTCTCCATGAGAGAGAGCAAAGTTTTAGCCAGGCTACATTTTACAATGCTAATTGAAAATGTTAGCTGGGCTGCCGGGCTACTCACCTAACACAACCGAAACGCCTGACCCATTGCTGGGACCGAGCCGTTAATAACTCATGCTCCGGACATTAACCCATGCTACGATTGTAACATTAAATTTAATTGAATCGACATAGCGACATGTGCTTAACATTACTGTAACACTAATTAAAACAGATTTTGACTTTATGTTGTACCTGTCCAGGAGAAGAAGAGCTAGCTCCAAGTCAGATTGTAGCCTCTTTAGCTCTTGCAGTGCTTTCCACCTTGGAAATGCAAGGCCAATGTTAATCCGGGTTCTGTCCCTTTCTTTATCCGACAACTTCTTTGCCAATGACCGTCATTTCTTTAGAGGTAATGTCAGATCCTGGTCGTCTTCAGGTGAACGGTTCGTTCCGCTCTCCACCATTTCGCTTCGAAAATACGCGCTGCCATTGCTCACTAGCTGTAGCCTTTTATAGGGAGGGAGGGCCAAGGGCTCCGAGAGGAGGGAGGAGGCGGCGATTCACATGAACGTATATGAACGTGCAGGCTGGTAGACAAGGGGCTGGAGATCAACACAGAGAGAGGGTGTGTGAGGTCATGCTATACTCCAGATGAAATTACACCTCTAGTTCTTCACATAGCAATTTTTTAATTCCTTCAGTCTAGTAAAGATGAATTTCCGCTTATTGCTCCTTTAACCAAACAAACTGTAAATAATGTCAAAATAGTAATGTGAGTTTTGTATTTTCTTTGAGGTCCTTTGATTTAAGGCAAACTTTGGAAAATTCTTATCAGGGATGTAAATATACACACTTTTTGGTAAATGGGTATCTTTGGTATTTTTAAACCTGGACTATATTTTCCTATGTTTTTATGTCTAAATGATGTGTGAGAAAAACATTTTTTGAAATTGGCAGTGGCAACTGAAGCTGGTAGCAGCTAAACAGGCTGTTATGTAACCTTTGGGCATCTGTACTGTCGATGTGCTTCCACAAGAAGTGTTTGTTTTTGCCACTGGCAGGCTCAGATTGTTACTCAGTGTGTCTGACAACATTATGGAAAGGGTCCCTATGGAGAGACCTTTTTGTTTGATAGTAAAATCCTTTTTGTTTAAATAGCCCCAAAATCACCATTGCCAAACCTACCAGACTCCATTTAAAGAAACAATTGTTTCTTTGCACGTACAGAGCCAGCATATTGTCACATCTAACTGGGTAATTTAAGGCTCTATTTCAGCCAAACCACAGTTGGTGATTGTTGGAAAAGTGAAAAGACAAATCAAGATGGCTTTTGTGTCTGGTGGGTTTGGTGATGGCAATTTTGGGGTTGTTCGTGGTTCAACAAAAAGTTCTATCTCTGTAGGGATCCTTTCCATAATGGTGTCAGACACTTATCATAACAATCTGAGCCTGTCAATGACAAAGAAAAGCATTTTTAGTGGACATAACTTGATGGTGCACATTTGCCCATTACCTTCATGTTATAGCCTGTTTCTCTGATGCTGGCTGCAGCGCTCTTTCTCAATACTGGACCAGTTTCAAAAGTTGTTCCCATTTGTCACTTAAGCCCCATATCAACCAAACACTTTCGGTATGGTACCTTTGGAACCAAAAATAACCCTTCAGACAAGGTACCTAAACCCTAGCGTTTCCACTGCAAACAGTACCCTTAAATGTGGACGGGGTTGTTGTCAATCACCGTATTTCCTCATTACCAATGACAAAGATGGAAGTCTGCACCTTGTTTATCGTCCAAAGAACGAGGCTGCACACCAACATTTTCTGAACAAAATGAAACAGCCTGCAGTGAGATTCTCTCAACAGTATGAACAGTGGTTACATGAGCTTAAAAACCAGCCACAAATCAGCCCTGAGCAGAGTAACCATCCCCTATTGACCAATCAACAGACTGCAGTGTTCACAGCTCCACCTTTTAGTACCAGATCTGTGTGCTAGGTACCCCAACAGAGGGGGGACCAAAACGGGGACGGTACAGAACGGTTCCATTGGCACCATCCACAACTTTTGTGCAGTGAAAATGGAAAAAAACATACAGAAATTAGCTAAAACACACAAAACCATGGGTATGTTTTTTCTTCCTCATTGTCTGTAGTGATTTGAGAAAGTTCTTCAATACAGAGTTTTCATACTCACACCAATGCAGCTATTATTGCATATTATGCATATTATTATGTCTTAACAAACAACATCAGTAATGGCTTTACACTGTCCTGTTGGGTTTTCCTTTCCTTAGGCCTGCAGACCCCTATTCTGTATTTGAATAAGACTGGACCCTATCAGGGTGAAGAGTTCACAGCCACCTGCAGTGCTCCGGAGGAGAAAGGATCCCTCATCTTCCGGTTTTACCAGAGATCTAGGGACGGAGCCCTTAACAGGATAAAGCAGCCAGCGCCTACTGGGAACACATCTGAGACCACACTGGTCCTGAGAGAGATTGGAGACAGCTTCCTGTACTGTGACTATGAGGTCAATTTGGTTTCTGGGGCCAGGAGCTCCAACCGCAGCAATGAAATTCAAGTGATAGTTAAAGGTGATTCATTCAAGAGCCATTGTTCTTTCAGGAAAAGATCAGATTGCTTAAACAGGCTTATGTAATTGACTCCTCTGAGCTGTGTCTTGCAGGACTTTACATTTCCCCGATCATGAATGTGCTGCCCTCCAGAGAAGTCTTTGAGGGTGATGTAATAGAAGTGGTCTGCAAAGTGGTGAGTCCACTGAGGAACATTGAAGTATTCCTGACGAAGGACAGCAGGGTCCTCAAGCAAGCACCGGTCAGCCTCAGTCATCGATTCACCGCAGAAGAAGGCGACTCTGGGAAACTCGTGTGCAAGGCAGAGTGGGGCAACGTGCAGAAAGAATCCAGTCTAACTATCACAGTTAAAGGCAAGAACTCTTTGTTATGAAATGTCTTAGCCCAGCTGCCAGAAGAAAGTCATTGTACGTTTCTGCAAACCATGAATCCATGACATCTGAATGTTTCACACGTATCATATCATGGTTCTAAAATTATAAAATATTTAAGTTGGAGACTAAATATAACAGTCTCTGTCAAGTGGAGGTAATGGTGGTTGGTTTAGCATTTAGGCAAGAAGCCTGCTAAGCTGCAGACTTGTTTTTCTTCAACCCTTGGCAGCATTTCCAACGTTTTTTACAGCACTGAACCTGCATCTTTTTTTTTTTTTAACCAAATCTGGTTATTAGCTCAGGTCTTTTGCTGCATGTAATCACCTCTTTAAATATCTTTTAAAAAACTGGCCATAATAAGGCATGTATTACCTCTAATAAGGCACTGTTCTTGCTTTAGATCCAGTGGCTACAAAAAGCATAAGTACTGGCTAAAAAGTGCATAATAAGGCCCAGATAAGACAGAGTGCTTTTTGCAGCTTGTTTATCTTTTTTAAATTGTTGTCCGTAGGTGAGAGGCCTTTCCCATATAGTACATTGGTAACAGGGAAATGAATGAAATCAAAGAGTTTTGTGAGGGTACATGAAGCCATCAGAAAGAAGAGAAACACCAGGGAATACCACCTGCTGGTCCAGCAGCTTCGCCTGGATGATGGACGGTTCAAGGCTCATTTATAGTGAGTCGGGGACAGTTCGATAATCTGCTGTTAGCTGTCGAGCCAAATTACAGTTGGTAAAGCGTTAGAAAGTAGCTGTGGTGACAGTTTGTTCAGGTCTTGCAGCTTGCCAAGGACGATGTTGAAAGTGAGCTAATGTTAGCATCGCACAAACCGTGCATGCTACTACTTGTTGTCATTGCCACTACCGCTGCTAACTTCACCTGACTGGACAATAGGAAAAACCACCAATGATGTCGGTCGCTTTTTCCACACTAAGTTAAACTAGAGACGTTAAGGGCACTCTTGCGAAAGCACAAGGTGCATAAAGTGGAAAAGCGGAAGGTGCTTAGCAACACAAAGATAGCAAGCAAAACATGTCATTCTCGCTGAAGAACTCTATAAAAAGCTGCCCCACACTGCTATAACACACTCTGTCTGATCAGGGAATAATGCATTTCTTACAAGTGCTTACAAATGTCTTATAATCTAGCAATAAATGTTTTATTAACACCTATATAGACTTATTAACACATAAAATGTTTATAAGCATCTTATAGGGACTTATAAGGCCCTTATTACCTACCATTACAAGGACCTTAATATAAAGCGTTACAGCCTTTTCCATTTTCAAAATTTAAAAGTAAACTACAGTGTATAATGCTTTATTTTTGCTGTCCCACTTCAACAGAGCTGTATTCAAAGCCACAACTGACTGTGACGCCCACAGACATCTTTGAGGGAGACCGCTTCAAACTCACCTGCTCAGTCTCCATTCATGTTCCTGAGAAGATCAGCAATAAAAGCATGAAGTTCTCCATCTACAAAGATGGAGTCAAACTCACCAGTGGAGACACATACAGCACTGTGGCAAAACCTATAAAAAACGGCAAATACACCTGTAAAGCCCAGGCTGCTACTCTTACGCACAGCTTTGTAAAAGAAAGCCAAACCCTTGTTGTGAAAGCAAAAGGTGAGTCATCTAATGCATGAAATTGAGCATCATAGCTCTGAGCATCACTGTGCTAGCTCTAAATACAGCCTCACAGAGCTGCTGGTGTGGCTGTCAACTCTTGTTTATGTGTGTCTTGTTCTTTTTTGTCACACTGACTAACTGGCCAATTATCTTTGTCCTCAGTTCCTGTTTCAAAACCCATGCTGAGTGTGGTGGGGGGTACGCTGGTGTTGGGAAAGCACTTCCAGCTGCTCTGTCAAAGCGACAATGGCACTCTGCCCATCACATACACCCTGCGTGGCCCTAACAAGCTGTATGATCCCATGGTGGTGACACAGCCGGGGCAACAGGCCATCTTTAACTCCTCACCCATTAAAAAGATTTCTGACTTAAAAAGCTTTAAGTGCCATGCGCAAAACAGTCCAAACAGGCCTCCCATGAATGAAACAGGGGTGCAGCTGCTGCATTTAAAGATCATAGGTGTGTTGGATGATCGATCATTTGAATAAACTGTTGTTAACATGGCGTACTGCAGGTCTAACATGCATTTTACTCCATGCAGAGCCTGTGTCAGTACCAAAGTTGACCGTGCTCCCCAGCATGGGGGTTGTCTCCGAGGGCCAGGACGTGGCTCTTGTCTGCTCTGTTGACAGAGGATCTCCTCCCATCAGCTTCATGTGGTACCTCACTGAGACAAAGAGTGCTCTCGCCTTCCAGAACTCCAAGGAACAGGCAGCATCCTTCTACATCAACAACGTCAGACGTGAGCACCAAGGGGGATACTACTGTATGAGCACCAACGCAGCCAACGAAACCCAACAAAGCCCCACTGTCATGATTGGAGGTGTGTTTTATCTTCAAGTAAAGCTTGGAAAGTCGTTGTTTGTGACCCCTCACTCTGAGGCCTTTAAGCAAACCGCAGTCAGCATTTTGTTGCTAGCACTGTGTAGCCATAAGCAGGCACCTGGGCAGCGGCCAAAACTGTGAAAGGCTGGAAAATAAATTTCAGTCATACTTAAACGGGATTTATACTCGTGCGGCAGACCCTACACACGTCGCCTATGATGTTGTGAGCATTTATACTTGAGTGGTGGTGTGTCTGTGTCACTCTGCAGTTAGACCTCCAAAACACTAGTTGGCAGCGGGGTTAGTGTGAAGTGCTGTAAAGTTTTGTAAAACATTGTGTGCAGATGAACGTTGTTTGACTTCCCCTGGAGACGGAGGCGGAGATCCGGGTGCTGGCAGCAGCACGGGGTGAAGCCAAACACCGTTCATCTGCACACACTGTGATGCCACACAGCTGGTTCAATATCAGCAAAGTTTCCCTTTATATTCATTGTCTTGTGTGGCGATCAGCAGTGATGTGGTGGTTCACTTTTACACTGTGATCTGTAGCCTATAGTTCGGCTTTAGCTTCTAACTATCTTTGTCTTTTTAACCTGTTGTTGCTGCTGAGTCAGTTTGACATCCTGGATATATCCTTCAAACACAGACTGTAGACCCCTCTGTCTGTTTCTCTCTGGAATCACTCTTTCATTTGTCCAAATATATGATAATATTTCTTCAGGAAGTGCAGTTAGTTACAGCGTGGGTTCCATGCTTACTCCGGCAGCTTGTCAGACCATCACAAAGGGGCGGGGCTTAGCAAAAGGTCAATTCAAGTTAGTGAGCTGCACTGAACATTTAGCTGAATCTTTCTAAGGAATGGATTCTGTTGATTTAGTATGCCTAGAAAAATCCTTCGCCCATCACTGAAAGGTAAACTACATTAAGCAAAAATTTTGATGTCTGTGCTTTGTAATCAAATAATAATATAAGTCATACCCATCCATATATTTCATTCAACTGCAGTGAAGATGGCTGGCTGGAAGAAAGGCCTCATCGCTCTTGTGGTCTTATGCATCCTGTTCGTACTGGCAATGATCCTCATTTTGGCCTTTAAGAGACGCCTCCTTCTGTTCAAGAGGAAAAGAACTGGCGAGCTGTCAGTGTGAGTAACGTTTCTCATGTTCTTATCAAAAATCAGAGTTTTTAAGGTCAAGCAATGTGAGCAATGAGAGTAGGTGGCATGATGACGCCCATGCACTTTCCTGTTTTAATAAGTTGATTGTGTGTTGTGGTCCACCTCCTTTTAGGAAGTCAGCCAGCACTAAAGTGGAGCGGCTGAGCCTCACCCAGGCGGAGGTCAATGAGGCTGCCAATGGTAAAGGCTCTTGTCAGAAATACACAAATACTGTGCTGCAAATCCTACTCTACTGTAAACTAATTTTTAAATGATGTCTTAGTTTTAAATGCATGAAACTTGTGATGTAGATTGTACTGATCCAACAACTGAGACTGGTGCTGTTTGTTTGTCTCTGTGTAGTCACCCCAGGCATGATCGGAAAGAGTGTTTGGAGTGAACATACATCAGGCTCTGGTGAGTTCCTGGCTTCCCAACCCTGTCTGTGATCCTCAGCCCTGAGCTTACTAGTTGCTACTGAAGACCTTGATCAAAAAAACAAGTCCGAAGTACATCCATTCCATTTTTAAAAAATGCTACATCATTTTCTGTAACAGCTGGTCACTGTAGTTTTTAGCAAACGTTACTCAGAAAGGAGTAACTATTGCATTTGTTGGGGACTATTTTCAGCTGCGGATTAATAAACATTTTCACTTCCATCCATCTCTTTATGGAAACTTCAAAATAAAAAAAAAATTGATATAACCCAAAAAAGATTTTACACCTGGGGGAGGTAAAGAAGTCAGTGTATTGATACAAGGTAAATGCAACAAGGTGCAATGGAAACAGATTTAACAAACAAATGATGACATGCAGTCATGACCTACTGTCATTGCATCGGCCACTGCAAGCTCTCTTTGTCATCTCTGGATGGCTTTTAACACACTTATGTAAGCACACCTGGCTGTCACCAGAACTCTTCCAATGTCACAATGATGTTGTTTTATTAGCTGGAGGCAAAATAGGATTTTCACCACTGGGCTGTAGGCTACATGGGAGTCTTAAAATGTCGTTGGGAGTCAGAATAGAAGGAGTCATGGCTCAAAATTCAAATTCTATCACATACCAGCCGCCACTGGCCGGCAACAAAAACGAAGACAACTATGATTAAATGCGATTAGGACTGAATGGACTGAATGGAGGCGATCATCAAAAATGCTCACATGTGCAACGCACACTTCATATCAGGTTAGGAAAAAAGTATTTCCTGTTGTAGGGATGAATAACATTATGTGTATTAAGGGTCATCATGTCCACCTCATCAGAAACTGGGGAGGGAGTAAGAGGAATATTGGATTTCTCTGTAATGTTAACTTTTTAGCACATTAGCTAATGTTAGCCTTGATAGGAAACAGTGTCATCCTCAAGTAATCAACCACAAAGCTTCCTGTGACATCATCCATCCACTGAGTGAGAGCATACGGGTCGGCCAGTCTGGTCCTGTTGGTCAGTGTTTACTTATGCAAATAATACTCATGGTCCCAGAGAGTGAGTGACCTGACATGGTGCGTTCAGAAATTCAATTTGATGCTGTACATTAAAACGAGAGCCCTGTTGGTTAAAGAAACGGAGCGTTATATTTCTACATGAATAAACATACGGTTAAGTTAATCACACATTCACTCTACTCGGTCCTCTGCTGCTCTGTCTCCACAGACAGAGTGCCCAGAGTGTTTGTGCCAGAGTGCGCCCATAGTATTTCTGAACGCAGCAACTGTGTCATTTTCCTCCATTGTCTAAAATAACCCAACAGAACTTGCTAGCTAACACTAGCTAATGTCTGTGGAGAATTGTTTTGCATCCAGCTAAGCCCTGCCCACCAAAAAATGTCACACTCTTTACTAATAGTAAAAGGGTCTCTACATATATTGTTTTCCTTTGTTTGAGGTTTTACTGGCGCTCTTCTGCAGTAGCACCTGGCGCCACCTACTGCTTATCTTTGTTTAACAGTGCTGGATGGAAAAACATGTAAATTTGCATTTAATTTGATTTTCTGAAAATTTGGTCAAAATGCCCAACTCGTTTGTTTGTTTGTTTTTAATAACAAAAGAAAATGTGGCTCACTGGTGTATCCTTTATTAGTTTTTGGACAACATTTGAGCTATAGAGACTTTGGCCAAGCAGCGAATACATGTTTGTAGGCACAATTAATTGTTAGGTTTGAAAATGAAGAAAAATATAGAATATCATCAGCACTATCCTTTAGATATTACCTGATCTGACTGCTATACTGCCATATAGCAGACTGCTATACTGTTTTATTTAAAGTAATATAAAATGCTATGAGGTTTAACTTAAGCTTGCTGCTGTGTTGAACTGCAGAGTCTGACGACCAGAATAGTGTGACCGCTCCGGAAAAGCCGCCAGAACCTCAATACACTGAGGTGCAGACCAGACAGGCAGATCCAAACAGAGGTGAGACTGCCTCTGAATTTTAATATTAGCTGAACTTAAAGGAACAGTTCACCCACAAAATGATAATTTGTATATCAATTACTCACCCCGTGTTATGTTGAATCCATGAAGAAAACTTTGTCTTGCATCCCTCCATGTCGAACAAAGAACCCAAACACAGATAAAGTTCTTGATGAATTAAAGTCATAGGGGTCCACGTTTAACTACAGTAAAACTATATCAAACATCTGTTTACAAACTCTCACACAACTCGTGCAGTATAATCCAAGTCTCATTTATCTATTTGTGTGGTCGTTTTTTTCCACATGCATTTTCGTGAGTTCAAATGCACATGCTCGCCCAAATACATGTGTTTGGGAGGTATGGAGCATACTGACTTAGAAAATAATGCATGAGTTGTGCGAGGGTTTGTAAACAGATGTTTTGATACAGTTTTGCTGTTGTTAAACACGACCCTCGTTTACTCCAGTTCATCAAGAATTTGCTCCATTTTTGGATTCCTCGTTCACTGCAGAGACATGTACAAAAAACAAATTCTTCTTCATGGGGTTAACGTAACACAGGGTGAGTAATTGACATATAATTGATTATCTTTTGGGTGAAGTGTTCCTTTAAAAACACTGTCTAATATAAATATATATTTGTTGTTGACAGCTCCGGTGAAAGTGGGCACAGACACGGTGTACAGCGAAGTGCGGAACTCCAAGCAAGGTACGACTAACATCCTGCTCTTACCCGCTTAATGTGAGTGTGGAGGGAGAAATCAAGCCCCTCGCTGACGTTTGAAAAAGAAAAGCGCCAGGAAACAGGATCAGCCCCGACTGTAAACATCTGCATTGTTAGTGAAAGAATGTCCTACTAAAACAGAAGGCCCAATTGCCAGGTGTCCACTTCCTGCTTTCGTCAAAGAGAACTTCCTGTTCAAACAATCAGAGCCAAACAGCGTGTACATCCGTTAAGACTTAGTGAGCAACACGCTCCATTGTGTCACACTCACGGGGGAAAATCTCGACCATTGTTCATTCATTGGCTCCTAATAACTCCTAACGGTTTAAATGTCAACTGATACAAACAATGATGCAGCAGAAGTAAAGACAAACAAACAGGCATGTTTTTTGCTCTATGTTCTCCAAGACAAGATTTTCTTCTAGATAAAGAGTGTATTAATGCGTTTATATTACTGTATACGTGTTTGATGTGATAAGCCCCGTGTGTCCTGGGATGTGGGAGCTGTTCTTAGGAGTGCTGATGACTATACAAGCCCTCCTTTAATCTTCAGACTCCTTTAGTTTCCTGAGCATGTCCTCTGGCTTTGTTTTTGCAGGTGTTCTAGAGCAGGCCGATGGTGTAAGTAGAAACACACACATACACACACACGTCACGCATACAGTGCATGCACACCCTCGAGAATAGGCAGACACACACTCATGAATCTGTTGTTTCTTTGCTCAGAGAGACCTCTCATGGACAGACACAGTGCAATAAATGGAAACCCTGTGGAGTCCGTTTTGATTGTTTGTAGACAGGTAACTGACAGTTAAACACTGGCTAATGCTTTATTTACTGGTTTGTACCTCTGTGATTAATGACTGATAATTACAAGAGAGTGTCCTGGAAAGAACCATGCAGTTTGGCACTAATTACGTTCGGTTAATACACTCTTCCAGGTAATTAATATAGAGTCTATCAGTTGTAAATTAGTCTACAGGCAAACATACAGAGCAACATGTGTGAACAATAATATTTCCTATATCCTCCTGAGATCCTGCTTCCTCATATGAGGACTTCACATTTTGCGTTTACTTGACCTTATATTTTATTCTACTTAACTTAGACCTGTTGTCCTCGTTTGTGGACGCTTTTTGTGCCATCTAGTGGCAGTAAGAGCACAATACACTAATCCATGTAAAAACAAGATGGCAGCCATCTCTGCCAAGTCAGTCTGCTGCTCATCCCGATGCAAAAGTGGACAAGGTCCAAAACCTGATCACATTTTATGGTTGAAACTTGTTTATTTTACTATTGTCTCATTTGAGAACATTGGGACTTAATTATCATTGAAAAGTTTTCATTTTTCTATACCTATCAGATCCTACTGATCCCAAATAGTTCATGTGACCAGTACAGACACGCATGTCACACAGTAAACTTTCAGCTGGTCTCATCTATAATAAGAAACCAAGCTTTCATTGTCTCTTCACATAAGCTTCATATGTCATTGTGTTTTTTCCCATCTCAGCAGGGGTCATTGGAGTATGCACAGCTGAATCATGACACCAATCCCCACAGTGACCACGGTAACCATAGTGACCACATTGTCCAGGATGACCACTTAGATGAGATTGACGACAGTGTTCACATCGACACCGCCGACCACAGGGAATGAAAACACAACCCGACGCCAGATTGTTAACTGGCCGACGAGAATATTTATTCCCTTATTTATCCGGCTCATTAATGCAGCTGGAGTCTTTTGTTTCGGAAAGACCTTAAACAGCTCTCAGCATTTATGTACTTTTTGCAATGCTTTGCAACGAACATCCCACACTGTCAGTTCACTCGCTTTGCCTTTGAAGGGCAAATAAAATGTTTTTGTAAGTTGAAGTGTTTCTCTTTCCTTCTCTGCTGGTTTTCTTGCCAAGACACAGGGAGAGGATGTGTGTTGTAACCACAAAGGAAAAGAGATTCAAGTCTGTATCCTTCCACTGGTGGCAGCGGTGACAGAATCTGAATAGAAAGAGGGGTCTTTGAAGTGAGCGGGGTACTGATACTGCCTCTTTAGTGACAAGGTTGAGACTCCATTCATCAGCTGTGTGAGGATCAGAGCTCTGTGTTTAAACCACTAGAGGACAGACTTCAGGCAGCGCTGTGTGGAAACTTAGTGCCATCTGGCTGTGATCTCACTCACTGTGAGCAGAGCTTGTGTTGTCACAGCATCGGTTGCAACACAGATATCAGTTTCAGTTTCCATTATCTAAGCTTTAATTGAATGATATAACATGAATTTATTCAAGGTCTCTATACACCAGATAAGTTTAGCAGGCACATTTCCTGCTGAACTCAATGCAGCAGAGGAGGATTTGGTACATTAATAATTGGCATGAACTCAGACTTAAAGTGACATTGAGCTCTTAGCTCAGAACATGATGTGACAACATAGCCGGCATGTTATAGTAGTGTGTCAAAGTGTGTTAGATAGGACTGAAACTAACAGATATTTTCCATTGGATCAACTGTTGATTACTTTTTTACATGAATTGAGTAATTTAGGCAGTAAAAAGTTTTAAAATGATTTTTAAAAATTTGTGTGCCGTGATTTCCCAAGGCCCAGGGTGACTTTAAAATAATTTGATTGGTCCAACCAACAGCCCAAACATGAAGGATATTCAATTTACTAGTGTTTTTGCTTTTAAAATGACTTCTTTGTTGCTGATAAGTTTTCTTTTGACTGACCCCTGGCTCCTGAGCTGGTGTTACATCATCATGAATGCCCATTTTGTGTGAGCCGACCCCTTTCTAGAACGGTCGCTTAAAGGAACGCTTCACCCCCAAAATGACCATTGGTATATCAGTTACTCACCACGTGTTGCACTGAATTCAGGAGGTAAATTTGTTTTCTCACAAGCCTCCAAGGTAAATGAAGAATCGAAAAAGAGAGGAAATTCTTGATGAATTGAAGTCATAGGGGTCCACATTTAACAGCACCAAAACTTTATCAAAACATCTGTTTAGAAACTCTCACACAACTTGTGCAGTATAACTCAAGTCCCATTTATCTAGTCAAACACGGACCCCAATTTAATCAATTAAACAAATAAGTAAACCAAACCATGGGAGGACAGTGCTGCCCCGCGAGGTAGACTGTGGTAGGGCTATGCAATGAACAATGAAAAAACAAATAAATCACAAATTATGTAGGTAAACTATGGATTAAACACAACACACAATGTAGTCAGTTTAGATAAAATTAATCCACAACACTCAAAATTAACCTACTTATAGAAAAATGATTCAAACCCCACAAAGCACAAAAAGGTTTGCCGCCCTACTAACCAGTCTCCCCTTTAATGCGGCAAGGCCTCACACAACTGAACAAAATAAATGGCCCACTAATTTAATAAATTAAAGACGCTACAAAATCAACTAATTGTGGGAGTTTACGTGTTCTTCCCGTGTCAGCATGGGTTTTCTCTGGGTACTCCAGCTTCCTCCCACAGTCCAAAGACATGCAGGTTAATTGGTGACACTAAGATCAAATTTGCACTTCATTTGGATGGACACCCAGCTAATGTCAGATGTATAATTTTGACATGGGTTTCCACCTGTCAGCAAGTGAACTGAGGCAAGCGGCGCAAAATACAGAAGGTGCTGCACTGGGCTTGAGTTCTAGGACATACATTGGGTTCACTCAGTTCTCGGCGACTGCTGTCGACAGTCTGGATTATGAGGATCTGCGCTTCGACAGGAAGCTCTTAGGAACACCGAACAGCAGATCAAATCCATGTGGGAATATGTAACACCCGACACCAGAGCTAACACTGACAGCCTGCCACCAATTCACATGCTTTCATCTCCATTCTTAGCACAGACGACCATATAGACTTCATCTTCTTTATCTGCCCGGAGGTGGTCCGTATGCTTGTGTGTGTTTTATGTCATCTCACACACCTCTCTGATCTCTCCTTCTCCTCCTCCACCATCTCTGAGCTTTGTTCACAGCTGCAATTGTGCTAAGTCTTCATGAATGTGTGCACAATATGTGACACTGGGGTGTGGTACAATATTTCCAGGGTTTGCACCATTCCCCCAGGCCCCCCAAAGCTCTTATATGGAGAATGATATGCGTGCATCTTGGCCTCTGTGGGCTCCTCAGAGGCATCTATGAATGGATACGGGCTCGGCTCTGAGGTGCCAAAATGAAAACTCACCCCTGCTTTGAGGATAGGACCCCGTCTTAGTCGACTCATGGTTTATTAATCATGTTACTTAACCAGGAGGTCGGCCTTGGCAGGAGTGAACAGCATATTCTGAGCACCAGAGACTGGGCTAACAGGAGCTGAAACTGTGCTACATGAATATCAGTGTCAGTATATTATACAGTATCACGCTTGTTAGAAATAGGCCATTGGATTATAATTACACTTCAGGCACAGAAAAACATAGCCTGCCCTGATATCGTTTTGGTTTTACTTTTGGATGCGTTTGACCAAAAGACAAAACCACAAAGTCACCTAACACCTGTTTAAACCAGTGTGTTACAAAACTGTGTGTGAGACTGCCAGTGAGAGTGCTTCAAGTGCATTCTCGTCTCAGACACCGAACACTTTGCCCAAGGATGGTGCTGCTCTGCCCTCGGGTCATAACTGTGTGTCGGGGGGGAAGATGGTGGATTTACTACTATTCCCAAAGCTATGATGTGTAAGGTCATGTACCCTGACAGACCTTTAGGGTTCCTGTTACAAGACTGGAGTCATGCTGTCACATGATCAATGCCTTTATTGCCCATAGTGTGTGCTAACTAAGGAAAGGGGCTCGGTCGTGTACATGGTGAGAGTGATGGAATGGTCTCACAGGCCCAGCTGAGTCTTCCTTCGCCTCTTTATTACTGCACGTACACTGTTCGTGTCTCCGCCACGTAACCTGATCCAGCTCCTCCTGTATCTGGAGCACAACTCCTGAACTGTCATTGGCTGCTGTGCTAAAATTAGCATATTGACCCCTGTGAAATGCATTCTGGGAATATCCTGCCTTTGACTTGGCCTTATGGGGCCAGTGCTGTTTGTGGTCTTCAGATGCAGCAATGAGGTCATCGTGTAGACCTCGTCTTTCTTGTTCCTGCAAAGGAGCACTAATTTCAGAGAGATGTTCTTAGCCACCATGTAATTATCCTAAATTTATCTGGTTATGTATGCTGCATATGTATGTATGTTGTACCACTACTGTTGTATCATCCCAATCGCCAGAAAAAAATGTTCGTATTGTACGTGTTTGCAAACCACGGATATATTACATTTTTACATATTTTGTAGTGGATACGTTGAAACTTTACTATTCTCAACAGGTAAAGGTGTGGCTAGGTTTAGGCATAAAAAACGCTTGGTTATGGTTAAAAACTTCTGGCTTAAAGCATCCACATTCGGTGGCACAAAAGTCGCTGGAAAAGCTGGGATGGGTTGGTGAAAAACACCCAGATTCGGTGCCACAAACCCTGCTGGAAAATGTTGAGATGTTGCGATGTGTTGGTACAAAATAACCAGTCTCAGTAAAATCACCCAGGTTCAGTGCCACAAACACCACTGGGAAACGTCGCAATGTATAGTTTCAAAACAGCCAGGTTTGGGAAAATCCCCCAGGATCTGTGCAAAGAATGCCACTGGGAAATACCGCCATGTGCTGGCAAAAAAACACTAAGGTTTGGTGGCTTAAATTCTGTTAGGAAATGCAGCAATGTGCCACAAGAAACACCCAGGTTCAGTGCCACAAACGCAGCTGGGAAATGCTGCGATATGTTGCCAAAAACACCAAGGTTCAGACCCATGAACACTGGTGTAAACGCCATGAAGGGTCTCCAAAAGCCAACTGTTGTTGTTGGTTTCAAACAGTGGTCTGCAGCGGTCCTCAACTCAGCAGGCATCTCGTCTAGGTGACACACTGTCCACCATGCTCTTCACCTCCCAATGACAAAGTCAGCTGACATATTTGTCACTTTAGAAATGTTAAAATGATTCGTATTAAATGTCCAAATGTAACATATCCATGGTTTGTAGAAAAAAACAATGTGAACATTTTCTTCTGGTGAATGGACTGACTGTCTTAATACGTTCTTGTAATCAAGGTTCAGTTGCAGTTTGTAATAGGAGTAGCAGTATCTTCCACATTTCTGTATGTAGGGCTGTGTTCATGTAGAATGCCCATATCATGTCTAACCAGCTTTACAGGACAGTTTCTGCAAACAGCCCTGTAACTCAAAAGAGTGCTGCATTACTTGATCCCTAATTTCCCAATAACTCTAGAGGCAGGAATAGAACAAATGAGGAGAGCAAATGAGTTGAGAAGTTTTCAATTCGATGTTTTATTACAGGCATTTTTATTCATATTCAGTAATAGTATAATGGGTAAATCTAAGGAATGGTAATAAGTCAAACTGAAAATGATTGTTAATTTTCCCAATTTATTCAAGAATATTTGCTTTAAACTGTGAATTGGTTGATACATTATGCAAACTCTGACCTCAATTCAATGTCAAGCCTTCCAACTCACTTGCAATAAAATTAATTGGGAATATATAGAGTTATTTATCAATGGGATGGTATTTCATGGCTGATTTGTCTTCCTACATACCACTCACTGGTAAGAACCTCATTAAAGAGTCACACTGGGATGTTAGGGATGAGAGCCTGCAGTCTAGGTTTGTGTCTGAAACCTATTAAATAGCACGTTGATATTACTGAAGAACAGTAGTTTATGCAAGTTATATAAAGGTGTTTATATAACACTGCATTTAACACAACAGTTTTCTGGTGGTAAATGGAAGAAGTAAAGATAAAATCCAAGGGGCAGCCTCTGGGGCTGAAATATGAATGATCACCAAGTGCCCCAAAACT